CTGCCTTTGGGCCATATTGGGGGAAAAAAGGTAGCCTAGTAGCCAAGAAAGTAGTGGGAAGTGTCCTGAGATGAGCAGCTCTAAGGTGAAAAATGGGTGCCTATGTATTTCAGTTGGTGTTTGGGACGAGCTTTGGCTATTGCCATTCTTCTTCGGATTTTATTTTTTTTAATTAACATCAAATATCTCATGTGGTATTTGCATTGTGATTAGTTTTTAAGTTTTTGTTTGTTAACCTAGCAATTATTTCCTCAAATCTAAATGTACCCAAAGCCCTCAAAACTTTGGGGATCTCTGGTCTATTAATAAATGCAAAAGTGTGGCCAAGCAGTAATATGCTGCAGATGTTGAGTGCTTGGAATCAGGTTGTAGCTTGCCATACTTTCTGCCCAGATACTCCATTCTGGCCAAATATTCAATTTTCTCTTTTCTTCCAACCAGTCTCCACTCCACTCCCACTGAGCACACTCAGCTTTTTTTAATATTGGTAAGTGGAGGATCCTACTCAGGGAGATTTTTTACAAATGTTGAAGACCCTCTCAAGCTCATTCATGCCATCTTCTTGTGCATGAGTTGTATGATACTTAAGTATCCACAGAATACTTGTTCAGAAAACAAGTTTGCTATTCTGGTACAAAACTAGCAAATGCCTAGTTTGTCAGAATATCAAGAACATTTTCTTCGGATAGATAAATACTTTTAAGTAGTCACTTCCTGCACACTAAGCAACTCCAGCTTTTTTCTTTCTTTTCAATGAGAATGTCCTCTGGGTTCCATGGGATGTGATAGAGATCCTTCTATAAAGAAGAACAAATACAACAATATTTACACAATGTAGTCTAATCACACTGGTCAGTTTTCAGTTACATAAGTCAACTTGGGTAAGCCAAATTTTTGTTTTCTAAATAAGTTTTTTTTTTCTTTTGACAGAGAGCTTTCTATCATGCCTTCAGGATGTAAACTACATTACGCAGGTTTGTATAATCCTTTTTGCCAACTGACCTTTCCTCACTTTTCCCAAGGTCTATATGAGGTGAAGCTGGATTCCAGCCAAGTTGGCTGATGTTGAGACTGATGCAAAACCAGCTGACAGAGAAAAACAACTAAAGGAAATAGAGGAGGTTATAATTACTCCCTGTATCTAGAGAATGCATCCACCTTTTGATTCTCAGTGAATCAGTTTTGGAAGAATAATTGGCTTGTTCTTAGGCTGGTCTAAAATGGATGAAGCTGTATAGAGTAAGACAAGCTTCTGGGAAATAATGATGCCTAAAAGAGAAGTTCCTTAAATTTAATGTTTGGTGTGTGTGCATACCTAATAAAGAAGTCTTCCATTACTTTCTACCATAAATCAATGCATGTTCCATTGCCTGTTCTATGGGTGTGTTGTCCTTTTTCACAAATGGTTGATGAAAGATACCATAGTAGTTATTTATTCTAAATATAGATACTGAAATGAATGAAAGTTGCAGTGTTTTTTTAACCAATGACTCCTTTAACAATAAAATAAATTGTTACATTTATCGTGGAGCTGTATTATAGCAGTCTGATAGTAAATAATTATTAAATAGTAAAAAAAGAAGAAGAAAAATAAGAGGTTTGCATAAAATACGCATGTGATAATTTATTTATCTGCATTTGTGACCCATATTTCTTTAAAAAGCTTAAGAAAGCTTATTTTTTTCCTCTTCCAACCTTCCCCAATTTTATCTTCACAACTCTATGAGTTGAGTTAAGAGATAGAGACTGGTTGAAATCACCCAGCTAGAACCTTGGTCTCCTTAGTGCTAGTCAATATGACTATAGTTTATTTAGCAACGTACAGATGAATTGCTTTCTTCCCCTGGACACTCCTCAATTACTCCTGTAAGATCCTGTATGCCCCACACAGAAGAATGTTCTTCCTAGCCCGTGTAGATGCTTTCTGTACTAGGGTGACAGCTGGTCAATATGGCAACCTTCCATACAAAGATTATGTACTTGCCCAAATATAGAGGCTGAGTCTGTTTCACACATCCTTTAAAGTGCCCACAGTACTCACACTGGCAATCAGAGCTAATACACCCACTCTTTAGTCTGATAAACTCCACTCATGATGCGGAGACTGAGGTATTCTTATTAAATGACCAATTTCCAGGTATTTTAAAGTCAGTAGCTAAATTTCTATTTACAGCTTTAGCTTATAGAAACCATTTAGTCCCTTCAATGAAATGCTAACTTTATAGGGTTTCTTCCTTTTATATATGTATGTACTATATGTAGTTATTTATGCAGGTATTAATAGTGTGCTGTATTTTTAAATTCTGTGACTTGGTCTTGGACCATAGATAGATAGATAGATAGATAGATAGATAGATAGATAGATAGATAGATAGATAGATAGATAGCAATATAACATATTTTACCTTAATGGGGGAGAATTTGGTGACCTGAATCTATCAAGCTTTTTAATTTTTTTAACTTTGACTTAAAAAAAAAAGAAACCTAAAGCAGGGTTTAGCCAGCCATGTATCCTTTCACAGCCAAATATCAAATTATGACTCTCTTTATATCTATGCAAGTATGACTGCATGGAATACTGTTCCAGATTCTGCACAGCTCGGTTGGAAATTAAGCCTTGGGTTAAGCCTTTCTGCCTCTCAAATAGAATTTAGAATTCTACCACATGGGGCATGCCCTTGTCTATTGATAGATACATCCTGGTCCTTATACTATATGGTGCTGGCTGCAAAGTAACATTTATGTGTCAGAGATTGGAGTAAAGTCTATATTCTAGTCTCTTCCAGAGAATCAGAATCTTTTCTGTCCGTTTTTCATAGGCAGATACAACACATCCCCTTAAACTTTGTGCCTGTCTTTTGTTCACGAGTTGGAAGATCAGCTGCCTGCTGCCTCTCCAAATGTACAGCATTTGGAAATGGTGATGGTGAGGACAAACTGGAGGAAAGGTAATTTGAACTATGGTTGGTGTTAGAAATGCTTTGAAGAGGGGACAGGTAGCAGTGTGAAAGAACTCTTAATTTTTTTTTAAAAAGCACACCGTTGTAATGGAGTGTTTTTAAAAATCCCATATAGGGAAAAAATATCACAACAAAGCAACTCAGTGGGTACGTTCATCTGTCCCCAGTCTACATCCAATTGTTCTGAACTTCAGTTAGACCTGAGATGCTTATTCTAGTCCATGCTGTGGCCTGGGCTCAGTGGAGCCAAGATGAGGCACAAATAACTGGTGTCAGGAAAGTAAAAACTCTTCTGTTTCTCTTGTGAAGCCTCCTTGCTTTGAACCAATTACACCTCATTCTTTTTCATCAACTGAATGGTGGCCACTCATTGCTCTTTTCCTTTGACCTTCTCTTCAAGGACTGCTGTGAGCTTCCATTTGCTGCAAATATGTCCCAGATTGTTCTCAGACAGGAAGAGATGCATGCACAAGCATTGTAGATCACAACTGCAGACTCCCGGCTCTTCCTGTTCATTTTTGTTCTTAGAGCATCACCAGTAGAAAAGCTTTTATTTCTTGTTCCTTTCTCAGGCTCTCACCTTAGTATTAATTCTTGACTTAGAGGGAGAATTTGTTTGAGACTCGCTTTTAAGCTCCCCAGGCAACTGTCCCTGTTTGCTTGGTCAGTGAACTTGCTCCAAAGATCTGGGTTGCCTTAGTTTCCTCTTACAGTCTCTGCTTATTCAGTGCTGTTGCAGTTAGAAGGTGCAGCAGAAGTCAAATGCCCAGTGTTGTAAAGAGTCTTACTTACAAATCTTGTACAAATACTTTATAAATCTGTACCAGCTCCTACCAGCTCGTGAGCCGATCGTTAAATTTTCAGGAATTTTGCAAGCTGGTTGAAAGCAGGGCTGAGCCAGTGTGCCTGATCGGCACACTAGGCTGAGCTAGGATGCCTAGTGTGTTGATCAGCTGTTCTGCAGCCAGCAGCAGGGCATGGATCTGGCAGAGCCAGTTCTTAAACATTTACCAGCACACCACTGAGCTTGGATCATTTTCATACTACACAAGTGGAACCAGCCTCCTTGCATAGAATAGATCCTTTGTTGCCTTGCATCAAAGCTTTCAGTCACTAAACCAAGTTTGTTAAAACCTTAAAACTGAATTTTATGAAATGCTGCAGTTGTTATAAAATGACAATTTTATTCAAAGGAATAACATTCACCAGAGAGGAAGAAAACAACAACACACTACCCTTCCTAGATATCCTCATCAGCAGA